GCCTGGAAGAAACCCAAAAGGAGAGAATTAAGGGGCTTCAGCTGAGCGACCCAGATCCAATGGAGCACAACAGGCCCCAATTTGAGGGTCTGAGGAGGGTTGGGAGAAATGCCCTTCTGGGTTCAGCTCCAAGTGGGGAAAAAGACACTGGAAACATGGAGGCTGCTGGGGAAGATGGTTTAATGGTGGACAGGACCACATGGCTTGAGGTCCTGGGGAAAAAGGTGATCACATGCTTCTAGATGTTGGGTGAAAAAGAAGAGAAGAGGGAGAAGGGCTGAAAATTCCTGGCTTTATACTCTCTGTTCGTCCCCACCTCTCTTTTCCTATTCCTGAGTAAGAAAATGTATTCTGATTGGTTGTCAAACTCCCATGGGGCCATGCAGGGGCAACTCTCTAGGCTGCCTTTTGAGTCCCAAGTTTGGTTGAGTTCCCAGATTCCATGTGGTGAGTTTCTGTAGAAAACTAATCCCATCTTTGTTATGTAGAGTAAACTAGCTCAGGGCCCCTAATGGCCCATTGCGAAAGGTGGGGGTATTAAGTGTGAGGAGGTTTCCTGCCTTAAAACATGTTTCTCCATATCTTATCCAGGGAAATGTAATATTCTGCCTTTTCAATATTTTCTAGGATATGTCATACTTCTAGGAGAGGGGTGGGTGCTAACTTCCTACAGTTACTAAAGATGATGTTCAAAGAATATATTTCCTATATTGTACATTTATCCAAATATAGGCAGTTGCTTTGATTTCCATTAGTGGGTGTGGATAGAAAGAAGATGACTGTTAAGCAACTTTGCGAAGGAAACCGGCTTGTTTAGGGCTAATTTCCTCAGACAGGGGAAGAGTATTTGGAAATATGACACTGTGCTCTGGTTGGCACAACTCCATTTTGAATAAATGTCTACTTAAAAAAAACCACAGTTACAGTTTTCATCTAAACCAGGAAAAATTAAGCAAAAAAAGAATGTTTGTATTTAGGATATTGGTTTTTTACTATCCTCTTGAAACATTTATTAAATTCGATTGTGCGTATTTTTATAAACTAGGTAGTATATTTTTGCATATGTTAAGAAAGTTAAAGTATCAAATGTAGTTTTGATTATAATTTTTAAGAATATAATTTTAGCTTAATAAAATACTACAATTAACAGACATAAATTTCATATTCATAGAAATATGGGAAAAGTGATAATTGTATTCATTGTCTGTCTTGTTCATTAAACTATTATTAAAATAACCTTCATTTTATTGTTACCCCCCTCTCCTCAAATTATTACTTGTCAACTAAGATTGTGGAGAATACACAGTCTCAAAAGAAATGTCTGCTTTTCAGTGTAATTTGTTGAGTCGAACATTATTATTTTTCATTATGGTGACCCTGAGTTGCCTGACTGGGTGCATATAAAGATTAAGATGAATGCAGTTATTCCTTGGCTGAGGTCTGCCTCTTTCAGGGCACATTCTCCCTAATGACATGATTGATAGGCAGTCCCAAATCTAGAGAGGAACTCATTAATCACAACACTGACTGAATCCAATCATTTGCTTCACCTGCACAGTGATGGACAGGAAAGGATACAGTTTGTGTGCTGACACTGAAACAGTCATTTGTCAGAGGGCCTCAACTTTTTCAATGTCATCCTGTAAGCAGCTTGACATAACATTCAGCTGCACTACTATACAACTTTAAAGCACTACTTTTTAATTCTGCTATGCTTGTAAAGATGTAGTTCTTTGGAAACTTTTAGATCAAATGTAGTGATAGCATATATCTCTAGAATTAAATTGTGGTGACTATAATTTCAAATTATTTACTGCCTTGAGTTTTCTGAAGTGATGTATTAGATTGTAATGTTATTTACTGGGTTCTATGCATGTACATGTATCATGCAAATAAATTCAAATGTACTTAAATTTGTTGCGCGCGCACACACACACACACACCTGGTCCTATGTATGTTTATCTGAGAATGGGCCCACCTGAATTTAATGAAGCTTAATTCTGAGTTGACATATACTAGCATGCAGATAAGAATAAATACTTAGTTTTCTTTGAGAATGTTGTACTATCGGCTCTACTATAATTAAAATGTTATAATAGCTTTTGGGGTTTCTAAATTGCTAATTGAGGATGGATGCAATGCTGTGATACAGTTTGAAATTTATAATCAGATCATAATATATTGAGCAATTAATATTAGAATGGGAATAGTTACGTAAACTAGCCCAGATGTCACATGTAAAAAGGAAGTGCAAGCTTTTAACAATTGGTTGTTTTCCCAAATTGAAAATTGATATAAAATTATTCTGTGAGCAATACCTTGAAAATTTTAAAAAGATTTTAAAAGCTGCAGTTAATATGAGGACTACTTGTGTGGTGTGTTAATTAGGATTTAAAATAATGTAATAAAATAAGAAACCAAGGTTACATTACTGAAAGTGTACTTTTTTTGATTAAGAATAACAAAAATCATTTTATTGTCTTATATTTTTATATAAAAATGTTTTTAAATCAAAGTATTATGTTTTCTTTTTACTGGGGTACTTGTTCATAAAGAGAGGACACATATATTTAAAAATATAAGCAGAAACGTAGTTGTGAACAATAAGAAGATACCTACAAAGTTACATGTTTCTCTTCTTTACAGTATACTGAGGGACTTTTACAGAACTGTGTTTCTATCATTTTATCATATAATCACACACAGTAAGGACTGAAGAGCCCAAATCAGGAAATGTAACTATATTGGTCTCTTGGATTAAGACTCTATCTTTTGGCAATATTCATTGTTTTTTATTGTAATTTCTGCTTTCTTTTTAGTACAATTATTACTGCAAAAGATAGTAGGAGCTCAGAAGAGGAAACTATTGAGCTTGAATTGACTGAGCAGAAAATAAACATGATGGCCTTGGATATCTGCCACAAACCAGGTGGCAGTGAATACCTGAGGCAAATTTATCACATCATCCAGCTCAATGAGGTAGGGAAACGGCCTTTTTTACCGAGCAATTAGGTGTGTAGTGGCCTGAGGCAGCATCTGCTGGCAGCTAAGGGTTACTCAAGGAGGTGATAATGCTTCCTAAAGTCAATACCTAGTCAATACCTCACTGGATTACACTGTTCACTTTAAGCTTTTCTGCATTTTTTCATAAGAGGTTATTTTAGGGCATTATGTGCCTTTCATTTAGGTATATACATAGACTCTGTCATGCTTCATTAATGGAATTCTGATTTCTAAAACACCAAAAACATTTTTGTAAGAATGTACAAAATCATTTTGTTTCCATTTATTTTTGTTTTGTTTTATTTCCATTTTATTTCAAGGAAAGTTAGACTAATATAATAAAAGAATATGAATGTGTACAGATTATGTTTTTAAAAATATAAACTTATTGACCATAATCATTGTTCTTTTTTCTTCAGTGAAAGTGTATTTGTTTCAGCTTTGTGCAGCTTGCCCAATGAGTAAATAAGATAACTTTTATTTTTGATTGACTTCTGAAGCATTTTTTCTTTGTTACATACAATACTGTCTTTGCTCAGTTATGGACCACTATTGACTAATATATTAGATTCATGTGTATACTTGTACTCCCAAATTATATAAATGAGCAAAATTGCTATCGTGTTTTAATCATTTTTTTTTTGTCCGCTTTTCATCATATGTACTAGTTTCTGTAATCATTTCATTTAGGAGCAAAGGTTAAAAAAGGAATTTGTAACTTGATTATTCACTAACTTTGAATACAGCTTGGTAATTATTTAAGGAATTGCCATTTTGATTTGGGTGTAAATAGGTAGAAGAAAAAATAAAGAACCAGCAATCAAGAATGCTCATTCAACTCCATAAAGCGCTTTTTAAAGCATCTCTCAGAGTCACTCATTCAATGTCTTAGTCCAATGCCTAAAGTCCAAGGGTCATATATCTAGGGATTTTGAAAAAGCCAAGAAGGTTGGGCCTGAATTTTAGAGAAAAGTGTTGTACAAAGCAGATGCCACTAGAGAGAAGGATAATTCCTGGGTCCCATCATATGACATTGCTTCATAAAAAGTTGTTAGAGCATGCCAACTTTGTTGTATCTGGTGATCAACAAGAATTAATATTAGTCAATCAGGTAAATCAAGTCTGTGCCAAATCAGTGGTCCCCAACTTTTCTGGCCTGGCATACCAGTGGGAGGGGAGAGGGAATGGTTTTGTGTGAGTGGCAGGTATGTGTGAGAGCACACACAACTCCATTTGCACAAGCGTTGGGTGCGTTTGCCCACTGCTCACACAAGCACCCACCACTCACACAAGTGTGCATGCTCGACTAGCAGTTGTGCAGTCCTGTTCCGAATGGGCAGTTGCCCGGTAGTGGGCCACTGCCCAAGGGTTGGAGATCCCTGCCGTAAAGGGCTTTACAGATGACACTCAGCATCTTGAATTCTATATGGAAATCTATTGGCAGCTCATAAAGTGGTGGTGTAGCATAAGTGCAATGATATGTGGCCATAGCTATCCACATTGGCACATTCTCAACTAGTGCAGCTTCTGAATGATACTTAAGTTTCAATAGGATTAGGATCTTACAGCCTGAAGTACCCCACAAAGCAAGTTCCTAGGGTTTAACCTTCCTCCCCACCCAACAACTGGAACAGCCCTTTGAGGAAGGAAGAAAACTACAACAACATCCCACCTCTCTAAATCAGTCCAAAAAGATACCATGATCAATGGTAGTTAAAAGCCATTGTCAAATCAAGGAGAGTCAGGCTAAGAATACCACTGCCTTCCTGACTCCTCCAAGGTCATCCACAAATGCAGTCAATGCTGTCTCATTGCTATATTCAGGTGTGAATTCTGATTGAAAAGAATAGGTTAATCTGTTCCTTCCAGAATCTATTGAAGCTGAAGCTCAACTACCATTTCCCTAATTTTTTCCCAAAGAGAAAGGCTGGAAATTGGATAAAAAATATCCCACATGTCAGGTCTAGTGCAGAGGTGGGTTGCTGCCAGTTCGGCCCAGATTGGCCCAACCAGTAGTAGTGGTGACGGGAGCCTTCGCCCACACGCCCAGACACTTCTGCATATGTGCAGAAGCATTACATGCAAGCACGAGCGCGTCTGAACCAGTAGTAAAAATATTGGCAACCCACCTCTGGTCTAGTGGTGATTTTTTGCCCTTAATGCCTTGAGGTAATCCTTAATAGAGGTTCTTACACATGTTTAGTTGGTTTTGCTTTCTCCAATGGTACTTAGTCATCCCTTTTGCTGTTTCATATCCAACAGATTCTTGAAAACCAGGGGGTACCATCTGATCTGTCAGCAGCAAGGCAATGCCAGGTGCAATCCAATCTAAGACCATTGTTGCTGTCCAGTGGTGGGTTGCAAGCGGTACGCCCTGGTACGGGCATACCGGAGCCTGCCTGGATCACAGGGTACTGTTCCGGTATGGTGCTCTGGGGGACCCACCCGCCAAAGCTCCTTACCTGTTCTTTAAGCCTTTGGTGCTTACGTGCATGCGCAAGGTGCGCATGGCGCTTGTGCGATGTTCCGCCTAGTAGCTGGAGCATCACTGAAGCTTGCGGAGGCGTCGCAGGCAGGTATGACACATGTGCGTGCTATATGCGCCCATGTGGGTGATGCTGGGCCCGTTCCAACTGTACCGGTTGGAACGGGATCCGGAACCCACCACTGTTGCTATCTCGTTCCAAGTGGCAAGCAAGTTCTCTGTTGAGCTATGCTTGAGAGCCTCAGGAATAATCCCAAACTCCCTTTGAAATCTTTCATGGTGGGATAAATTCAGAAAAATCCAAAAGAATCAGAGAACCATGATTGGGCACTGATTTGAATGCCTCCTGTATCCAGACTGTGTTGTTATTGCCCTGAGGCAAAACCAAATTCAAGCATCTCCTCAATGGATGAATCTCAGTGTGAATCTCATGATGAAGATCTTAGCAGATGTACCTTATCTGTTGCAACATGTGCCCTGTGGAACAGCTTCCCCATGAACATCCAGATGGCCCAAGCCCTGTTGGCTTTTTGGAAGGCAAGAAAAACCTGGCTTTTGCCACAAGTGATAGAGCCAGGCCATGACCTCACGAGCTACTTCTGACTCCATGCTCAAGAAAAGCAAGTTGGAATCCCCTCACACTATTGTAACATAATCCACTACTAACTTTGCCACAGCTTCAGGCAACTCAAGCAGGAAAGTCACTACGCCTCATGATACTGTAGAGTAGCCACAATCCTATCAGTGTGAATTATTTAAAAGATTTATTTTAGATACAATTAATTAATTAATTATATATTTAATTATATATATTAAATATATAGGAGGAATTTAAATCCTTCATGCATTTACATAAATGACTTCTTTGTTCTTCTCCGATGCAATTAGTACTCAGTTGGAATTCTTTTTTTAAAGGATTATTTGAATAAACAGCTATCTTACGAGGGAAATTCTGAAGAAGATCCAGCAAACATCAGACATTTACGTTTAATATTAAGAAGCAAAGAACATTCTGTTTTTGACCCTTTCCAAGTGCACCACTGGTATTGCACTAATGTCTTAAAAAAGGTTAGTCATTATATGAAGTACCTAATGTTGTTTAATGTTTAAATCTGTTAACAAAAGAAATCCAGTGCCTACTTCAGATTGCTTTTGAAAGCCTTGAAGTTATAATTCTTTGGATATGGATATGGATATTGGATATCGGATGTATGTATAATTTATATATATATATATATATAAATACACACACGCACACGTACACGCACATACACCATTTGACAAAATTGTGGGTGCTGTATATACATGGGTGCTGTATATATATATATATGCACACGTACACGTACACGCACATACACCATTTGACAAAATTGTGGGTGATGTATATACTTGTCCTCTTTATTTAGAAGTTATCTTTCATATAGATGCAGCGAATTTGACAACAGTGATTGGGAGATCAAAAGAAAACCTGATTCGTTATTAGGAACTTTGAAACCCAAACTTTTTGATTAAAAATAGAATGAGAACAGCCAGTTATAATTTCCCCAAAATATACTATGTTACTTAGCTGAGTTCTGTCTCTATTATTGTCAACTATCTATATTGCCAACTATCTTTATTGCATGGGACAACATGGGACGGGACAGGAAGGCAGGCAGGCAGGTGTTTGCTTTCAAGTTCATAAAATGCAAAATACAAAAAGGATAGCAGTGGCATTTATCTTATACAATTAAATAGCTTTTCATACAGTTCCAGCACTGTGAACAACGGAGGAGATGTACACTGATAATCTACTGCATGAAATAATGAATCATGATTATAAGTGATTCAAAGAAGCAAGGATTGGTATCTGTATTGGCAAGGTTTATCCTCTTATAGTATCTTCCCCATATTGCCATCTAATTCCATTCCATTTCATGTATTGTGACTGTACTCTTAAGATTTCAACCAAATACTTTAAGTTGAGTTGGGCAATAATACTGACCAGTATGGAATGGAATGAATTCTTACTAGAAATAGATTTTTTGCCAGAAGATAATTTTCTTCTTTTGACCCCTTATGCCTATAACTATACAACTTGGGAATTTTGGCAGTCTTATTAGCTGGAACATCTTAGCTGGAATTATCTTCTTGACTCAGAGCAGCTTCAGATCAGTAATATATGAGAATATAACAATCTTGGTGATATTATGGTTTCACGTGAAATTGATATATAGCAGAGATTTGAAGATAATATATTGGTGTACTATGTGAGGCAAACAGTAAATCTGTTCCCAAATTATAACACGATTGTATCAGAGGATATAATAAATCCCAAATTATTTTGGTTACTAGAAATAGTTAAAAATAGATTATGGAGACATTACCCAATGAAATGTCTGTGTGCAACCCTGCTTCTCCTTCAACATGGAATCCTCATTATAATCTTACCTAAGCAACCAAGTATTACCTAACAATTTGACACAAATCTCAAAGAATGGGATTCTTGCATATAAATTAATTGCCAGAATCTGTGTGAGATAGTTCTGTGGTTAAACTGATGGCCTTCCACTAATTAAGTAAGATTATTTCATCTTAGTGGTATTCATCTTGATTCCCCTTTTACTTTTGTAGAAAAATCATTTTTGAATTTTTCCTTTTAATTAAAAAATTAAATGGTTAAGATTGTTTAACCACTGAGCCACCTGGATAACATTTTATACTTGCCAGAAGAACCAAACAACTCAGTATTTGTGTCTCTGATTTGCAAGCATCTCCCTTCTGTTATAGAAGACAATATTAAAATATCTGAGAGGACTGTTGAAAAACCTCCATAAATTATAGTTGCCAGGTTTTAAAATTCTGTTTTCAGAAATAGCAGATTAAACTTCATGAGAAACATAAATCAACATAAACAATAGAACAAGATGGATAAATCTATTATTTGCCTGGCATAATAATTTGTATTGATTCCTTGAAATTTGAGTTTGAGTGGGATAGAAGCCATCTCAACATTCTAAAAATTCTTCTTTCATTTCTATTTTACAAACTCCTCAATTGTGCCCTCTTTCCTGGTTTCCCTTTAGATATCATGAAATATATGAATTTTTTTTAAAATCAGAAATATAAAAACCTGTCTTGTTTTCAGAACTTAGTAACTCAAATCTAGAGATCTGCTGACCAGCAGATGGTCAGTGTTTACAGCTCTGATACACCTAATTGTCCATTGCAAAAGGAATTGGATTGTTATGAGCCATGCCCCAAACATATAATGAACATTCTCTGAGTTAGTAGTACCTTTATGATGCTCAATGGGTGCACACAGATTCTGAAGCAGCACACACACAAACCTTGAGGCAGCCTTGTTGTTTTGTGTATCCAGGTAAATCACACTACAGCGTAATTAACAACAACATTATCTCTATTGCTCTGCAGTGCAACTTTGAAAGATGGCCAACAAGATATATGTAAACTCAAAGGTTACGTATCTTGAGGGAGCCAATGTAGTCACATATGACCTTCTGTGACTTGACTTTGAGCAGCTTGTTAGGCTAACAATAAAGCTGTGCTTGAGTGTGCTGAACCATCAGCTTGTCAGAGGCAGTAGCCTGACATACTTGATTACATATTCAGAACTGAACTTGACCAGGAATTTATGCACAAAATCCGGTTACTTTTTTGTTAATTACTTTGCTGCAGTTGGAATTATTTATAATCCCGGTAACAGTGTGAGAACTATTCCCCATACTGTTCTAGGAAATAGTAATAGCGGTAACCTTGGCAATGCATGCATGAGACATTAAGGAAGGAGAAATGATAACTGACTCCTGGGAAAGAGAAAATGTGAGAAAGAACTTAAACTGACCTCTCCTTGATTCTGTTTGGTATTAGAAGGGACTAAGGGAAAATCTGGCAGCTTTCAAGATTGTTGTTTATTAAACCCTGTAATAATAAAGTAGCATTCCACTAAAATTTGTGGCATCTATTTGGTCACTCATCCTGCCTCAAAAGATTGAGAATGCAGAGGAAAGAAAATTGAAAATATTGGCAAAAATTAGTTTGAACATTTAATGAACAATATTTTTTATCATATTGTATATTTCTATAAAAGGTTAATAAAGATACTCATGGATGCTGGCTAAGGTGATTCAGGTTTCATTTCAGATAAATTCAACTCAAACTGAAGATTTGTCCTTTGGATTTTCTGCTGTCTTAAATATTGCTTGACTAAATGGTTAAGTTAAGCTAGGCTTTAATTTGGAATGCAGGTAATATTTTTAGCTGTTACAACTCTACTCATTAATACTGTAGTACTGTAAGACCTTCAAAAGCTGACAACTCTGGGTAGAATTCAGTCACCGTGTGACAGGACTGCATTGCTCTATTAACCTGCAAGTGACAAGCAATTGTTACTGTACAATAGCTACAACTTCGGAAACCTTTGTTAAAGAGTAAATTGATATTAACAAGTGATCAGATTTTTTCCCAAAATAGCCACATAGTTATATTATGTTTTACTACCTTTATTGCTGACTCTATGTTTCTTTTGTCATAAGACAGGTTGCAACTAATATTAGGGTGGTTTTGGATATAATATGAAACTTGTGCCTTATTCTACTAATGACAATGCAAGGAAAGAGAAAGATTATTGTTGTTGGTTTTTTTCCCATTGTACCTTTTTATATTCTCTGGAATTGTCTTCACTCATATTTTAAAGGATGTGACCCAGGAAGAGTATAGGGGTATGTTTAGATCCTAAGAGATTACCGTATCCTAAACTTCTGAATATTTCTACTTTATTAGTTAAAACAGGGATTGTGGAAAAAAAGAAAGTCTCTGCATTCAGAGCCTGAGTGAGGAAATTGATTTAAACAGAAAGCATTCATTGATAATTCTTTAACTTTATCCTGTCCCTTTTTAATAAATCTTGTTATAGCAATTCTGGAAAAATCTTGCTTTCTATGGAAGTGGGAACACTAAGAACTTGATAATAGATGAGTAAGGATTCTAGAAATAAGCAGCTGACTATCCAGAAATTCTTAATGGGAATTTCAAGATAAGGAATTCCTGTTAAGAGGGACCCTCATGGGAGCTAGGAAGGATTTGTTTGGAAGGCATCATGCAAACCTGATTCAAAGTTGAAGTAGTCAACGACTATTTCAGCTTGAACCACAATAATACCAATGGGCAAAGAATAGATACAAAGTCAAAGTAAACTGTTCTAAACTCGATTGCAGAAAATATGACTTCAGCAACAGAGTGGTCCTAGAATGCACTATCCAAATCTGTTGTTTCATCCTCAAACTCCCAAAACTTTAACCTTAAACTATCTACCGTGGACCTCATCCCTTTTCCAAAAGGTCTGTAAGGGGGCGTGCATAAGCACACCAGCGTGCCTACTATCCCTGTCCTACTGTTCCCATTTATTTGTACTCCTTCCCTATGTACATATACTTGCTTATACTTACATGTTTATATGTTATATTCATACATACTTATTTTCTCATACATGCCTGACAAACCTAGATAAATAAATAAATAAATAAATAATTGTGTGAAGGAGGAGCCATGTCTAGAAAATAGACATGGGGCAGCCATGTCTAGAAAATAGACATGGGGCAGCCA